TTGAAGAAACAGGTCAAGAATCCTTTTAATTAGCTTTAAATCAGGGAAGTGTTTACTAAGTATGAGATCTCTTACGAAGGTGGGTTGGGGGTGGTAGGAGATGATGTCTATTTAATATTTATAGTACTTCAGGCAGACCGTTCAGGAGGCATTGCACAGGAGGTAAAAGATTGACGAGAAATGATCACCGCCCCCCCCCCCCGAATTTTGTCCCCTGATGGTCTTGCCAAGGATGCAGAAGTTGGGAAGCTGGTACACTGTGTGGGTGGGCAAGATGCTGTGCAGACTTCCCTGTGCCCTTTGTCCTCATGGTGGGGCTGCCAGAGTTGAGAAGGAATCAGAGTTCTTGCTACACATCTTCTGTTTGGGTGCATATCACTGTCGTGAAGAAATGTCTACTTGCCACCTTAGAGGTCCTGCTTTAGGGGTTGCTTTTAGACATTGGGGCCTACTCATCCTTGAACAAACTCAGCATCTCCATTTAGAAGTGAAACCAGGTCTCTCCAAGGTCTCTGCCTCTTAGGTAAATCTGCCTTCCTGCAGGGTCCTTTCTGAAATCACTGTGTGAAGTAGCTGTCATTATACACAACTGGGGTCCTCATAATTTCACAGGAAAATGGTGGAAATCTGAGACTTGAATTTATATTTGGATTTTCTTCTCCCTGACCCTAGGCTGAAAATTGAAATAGAAAGCCTTAAGCTCATTTGTAAATGTGATTTGCTCATTTGTTAAAGTGTGTTTCTCCTCCTCCCCCCAAAAAGAAGTAAAAAGAAAAAACTTCAGCCTTATTTTTCACTAGATATATAATACATGTGTTTAATTTTCCTCTCTAACCTCAAAAAGAGATTAGCCTAATGAATAATGAATTCATATGATGTGGACATGCTTACTAAAATTTCCCCTTTATTAATATGAAACACAAAATACATAATTTTTTATGGACATTTTACCGACTCCTGATACTTGACATGGGAAATAAGTCACAATTTTGAGATATTTACTTAGTATGGTATAGTTTAATGCCAAAAGCATGTTAAGATGCCATTTTAAGCAGATATAGTAAGACATTAATTTTGAGGTCCTGCCACAAAAAACAAAAGGAAAAGTTATTTGGGGGCTATTCAATGAATGATTATACTGTAGTGATTTAAAAAATGACCACCATTAATGTGTCAATATCATGGAAATTTAAATAGAATACATAAAAGAATATAGTAATTTTGCCAAAATTACACATTAACTGATATAATTTGCTTTCAAATGATTACTGTTTGTTTGAAGTAGAGCCATTAGACTGCTCAAAAATGGTGTTTGGCAGTTTAGGCTTTTGCCTGTTTATATAAAGGAAATAAAACTGAAGAAGTTCTTAACGTAGTAGATCAAAGGAAACGAATAGTGTATGGATTTGGCATTCTTTGTAGGGTTATATGGACTTTAAAAAGGAAATTTAACAAAGGATCTGAGGGGGTGAAATTAATTAAAAACCAGTCTCATAAGACACAACTTTGGACAATCTGTGTTTTCCTTTTTTTATTTTTATTTTATTATCAATGGGTTCTGTTCCATATTATCATTAATATTTATCATCTTCCTTGGTCCTGAAATACTTGGCTTGCTTCCCTGCCTTATCATGCTTTGCTGTGTGTAGTTTTCACTGTGGAGCAATTATTTTCATTGCTATGAAGAGACACCTGTAGGATGACTGAGCCCAAAGAAACTGAGGGCTGTGGTGGCCAAGGTCTTAAACCAGAAGGGTAATGGTCGATGCAACATATGGACATTTTGTCATTAGAATTTGTTCAACGTTGCAGACAATTTCAGCCCAAAATTACAGTTTGTTTCCTAATCATAGAAGCAATAAAGCAAATGCCCTCAGTAAAAGACATTAAGAAAAGAAAAGTTTCTGGAGAGGGGAAGAGGCCTCACATCACTTTCCAGTTCATTCTTAAGCTGTTCTGTCCCATCAGCACCAGCACAGATGTTATGTAAATAGGATCCTGTCTCTATGGAGACCTCGCTTCCCATGAGACAGTATTCAGCAGGTATTCAGCACTTAAAATGATTGATCATGGAATGACTTTAATCAGTACATGAAATGATGATGATGATGATGATGATGAATTAGGTACCAGGAATTGAATCCAGGGGTGCTTAACTACTGAGCCATATCCCCAACCCTTCTTATTTTTTGAGGCAAGGTCTCGCTAAGTTACTTGGGGCCTTGCTAAGTTGCTAAGACTGGCTTTGAACTTGTGATCCTCCTGCCTCAGCCTCCCCAGCTGCTGCTGCGATTATAGGCGTGCATTACTATCACTGCTCCCAGCTTCAACAAATGACTATTTTGAGTGCCTACTAATGTCTTGAAAATTTTTCTTTCATACTTGAGGGAACCTAAGATGTTATTAGTGTGAGATGTAAAGTTATATAAACTAAACTCTATTTAGCCTATTTGAAGGAATTTTAAAAATTTGATACAGGGAAATTAACTGGTGCAGAATGCACTTACTCTATTCTGAGCCCTTAGATATTTAATGATATGATGAAGAAATTATGATGTTATTCCTTAGTGCTGTTGCTATTTTTGGCAAAAGTCAAACCAGTATAAAAAGCTACATGATAGAATTTGTTTTTCTGAACTCTTTTCATAAAATAATTTGATACTTGCCAGGAGTTACAAAAAAGAATGTTCAAAATTGTTTCGTCTCCTGGTCCTTCTGCTCTCAGTTTTATGTCCTAAGGCTTCACACATTTCTGTTTGCTAGCAGGATTGTCTCTGGTGCTTTTATGAAAATATTGATAGGGGATTGTTGGTCCCAAAGAAGGGCAGACACACAGGTGTACAAATATCTTCTCAAATATAGCTGCAAATAAACAACTGCTCTTCATGTATGAGCTTCACACAGAAAAGTCTGGACTGCCTGGGTAACTTGTGGACTTTGCCTAAGTGGCCAGCAACTGGGTCATCTTTTTTTCCCAGATGAAAAAAGTATTTGCAAAGTGTACTCAGCAATAACAAGCAATGAATCACAGCTTTATGCAACATGGGTGAATCTTAAAATATACAGAGTGAAAGAAGATGGACAAAAGACCATTACATTCTGTGTGATTCCCTTTTTAATAAAATTCTAGGGAATGCGAGCTTGACTATAGCAACAGAAGAGATCTGTGGTTTCTTGGGAGTTTGGGAGGCCTGGAGAATAAGTGGGGACTGCAGTTGGGTGCTGAGGATTACAGAGGGGCACAGGAAACTTTTGAGGGTGATGGATATGGGCATTATCCTGATTATGGTGACAGTTTTATGGATGTATATGTTTATCGACATTTATCAAATTCTGTACTTTTCACATGTGCAATTTAATGTTTATTATACTCATATATAATAAAAAGAAAATATTTTACTATTATAAACTAAAATGCTTGCCATAGATAGCAGGTAGCTAGGAAAATAAATGCAACTAAAACTAAATAAGTGCAACTGAAAAGAAAAAAAAATCAACCTTCTTCTTTGGAATTTGGGGCACAGGAAAAGACCTGTGTCTCATAATTCTCCTCTCATTTGAATTTTGATTCATAGATACAGAGAGTTACTTTTTAATTGTCAGCATCTGGATTTTGGAATTGGACAGACCTAGACGTAGCCAGTCGTCTGCTAGTTTTGTGACTTTGAGTGAGATACTTGACCTCTCTAATTTTCCCCCCATCTGTGAAATGGGATGGTAAAGGCTCAATAGATAGAAGCAATTTTTTATTGCTTTTATTATTTTTATTCATTTCACATTCTAATTTCCATAGGATAGTCTTGACTGAAAATGTGGTATTTTAGATTCCTATGGGAGGGTATGTTACCCTTGAAAATTGGATCCTTTATCAAGGCCTTTGAATTGCCTGAAAATGAGAGCCCTGCCTCTAAGGGCAAGGAGCACAATGATTTGCAAATGCTCACTTTCTGTGTTCTGGAACCTGGGAATGGAGCTGCCAGGTGACCTCTCACATGGTTTTTCGGCATTGAAATGACATCTGATCTTTGCAGGCTTTCACTGTTTTAAGTGAACTAGTCTTTCTTTTATTAAATAAAAATTTTTTTGCTAATAATAATAATAATAATACCACCATTGCAGGTGCTAACCAGAAAAAAGGACCAGATCCTGGAATAATTTCCTAAAACTACCAAAAATAGGGCTAGATGACAGCTGGAAATAGGTCCTGTGGACCAGAGCTATGAGTGTTCTTTTGTTTTGTTTTTTTAAATCATGCAGATTTGAGTAAGGAAGATATTTGTCATTTACGTTGAACTGAGAAAGCTTTGGGATGATAGCGCAGTCCACAGGCAAGTAACCATTGCTTCTGTATGAGTGGGGGTTGAGAGTTCCAGAAAGTTTATACTAAAACAGATTGCAGGGGACCAGGAGCCCTGGTGGTTGGCCAGGATGGGATTTAAGTCAAGACTTTAGTGTACATTCAGGCAAATGGAACAGTCTGTTTTGCTTTCACCTGCAAATGTTAACGGATTAACTTCTCTTATCTCTACCCATACCCCATCCGTTGGCCCTTGTAAGTAAGTATAGGATATCTCATAATTTTTCTTACATCAGTGGGTATGCATGTTTGGAGGATAGTATAGCAAAAATATAATTTTTTAAAATACTCTGAAATGGTGTCACTTTCATTTCTAGAAATTAGAGAGAATTGCGTGCTTTCTCATGATCTGGACTTAATTTTTTCCTTTGCCAAATGGTTGCCGAAATTAACAAGTGATTGATTTGGTTTTAGAGGGTCCCAGAACTACACACAGTGCTTTTCATATCTGGAAAGACATGCCTAGTTATTCACAAGTTATAAGATTTATTGCCTTACCCTAACATGTTGCAATTTAGTTTGTTTGCTATTTATTTTACTCAGAATGTAGTAATTGATGTCGTTTGCTGAAGGGCAGATTTGATCCCAAGAAAGGGTAGACTGCCTCATGATGCTCTTTCTTTTTTCTTTGTCATCTCTGCAGGGTTGGAGATAAGATGGGTGGACTGCTACTTTCCTTTTACTCATCCTTCCTTCGAGATGGAGATCAACTTCCACGGAGAATGGCTAGAAGTTCTTGGCTGTGGGGTGATGGAACAGCAACTGGTCAATTCAGGTAGAAAAGAATCTCACATGTTACTGAAAGGCTCTCTAAAGGAACCTTCTCTCCTCAAGTAACCTCCTAGTCATTTGCAGTCATTTCCGTAGTATTCCTCCATTGCTATCCTTCTCTCCGTGGTACCCACTAGACATATCTGACACCAACTTTCTCACATCTCATTTTGCAGAAGCTTCTTTGGAGATCTTTCTTATCAGAACCTGGCTGCTGGTTTGTACCTTGATTTTGTGTTTGTTGATATGTTGCTTTCTGATTGCCTCAGAGGCAATTAAATGCATGTCATACTCGAGCAGTTTGTCTTCTAAACTGACTTCCTTCCAAGCCCATGTGTAAGCAGTAAGCACTAAATGGAGATTGTCCTGGGTTCCTTTTCCCTGCTCCTATAGAAGGGCATTTGCTGTGTGCCTTGGAGGGCAGTTGTGGTTCCAGGTTGGTCAGATTTTCCCTTGGTTTCACTCTTAGGTCCCCTTCCTTGTAGGGGTGTGGACTTAAAGGGCCCACAAATTCTTCTCCAGGTTGGTCATGGGGCCTTCAGCAGAATGGAGAAGAGCAATCTTCCTGGGTGACTAAGAAATGTGGGTAAAGATGGGATAATGTGGTCATGGAGTTAGAAGATGAGGGGATTCTGAAGAGATAGGGTGCATAAAGAATTTGCTGGGAAACTGGATGTCTGGCTCTCCCTCTTACCCTTGTTATATTATGGTTTAGATGTGAGATGTCCCTTAGAAGCTCATGTGTGAGAAGGTTCAGAGAAGAAATGATTGGGTTATGAGAGCCTTAACCCAATCAGTGAATTAGTCACCTGATGGGATTAATTGAGTGGTGGCTAAAGGCAGGAAGAGCATGGCTGCAGGAGGTGGGAAATTGGGGGCATGGCTTTGGGGTATATATTTTGTATCTGGCAAGTGGAGCTCTCTCTGTTTTTTAACTGATCATCATGTGAGCTGCTTCCCTCTGTCACATTTTTCCTCCATGATGTTCAGCCTCACCTTGAGCCCTGAGGAATGGAGTCTGCTGTCTATGGATTGAGACCTCTGTAACTGTGAGCCCCTAAATAAATGTTTTCTCTCCTAAAATTGTTCTGGATCTTTTAGTTGTAGCAGCAAAAAAGCTGACTAGAACATGTTACCAAGTGAGCCCCATTTTGCCCACTGCACAGGATGCCAATCACTGAAATGACAAGTTTGGCAAGAGAGAGTTTATTCACATGATGCCTATGCTGAGGAATTGGGAGCCCCAAATCTCAAATCTACCTCCCTTGGATAGGGTTCAGGGGTATTTATGGGATAAAGAAGCAGGATGGTTTGAGGTGTCAGAGAAGGTGACTGGAGGCAAGGAAAGATTCATTGGTCAGCTGCTTGTGTATTGTTAAAACTTTGTGGCTCCTTAGAAGCACATTCAGAAAATGGCAGAGTTAGCATGATCTGTGCGTGGGGTTTTTGGCCCTCTGAAGTCAAAAGATTCTCACCCATCAGACAACTGTTGTAGGCCCCAGTAAATGGTTAGCAATTTCAACTGATTTAAGAAAGATTAAAGCAGCCTCCACGTAAAAACTGCTTAAACAATTGTTACCATAGTGACCATCCATCAGAGGAGCTTCTGATAGCAAAGCTGATGGGATTATACTGCTTAGCTGTGTGACCTGTAAAATTGGTCATCAAAGCAAGTAGCTAAAAGCAAATGGAACTAGTGGATTCATTCAGATTTCCCCTTGGTTTTACTCTGAGGTCTCCTCTATGTAGGGATGTAGACTTAATAAGCTCACAGATTCTTCTCCATTCTACTGAGGAAGGTGGTGGAACGCCCAGTGGAGGCCAAATGCTTCACAGGCAGTTTTTGAATATTTGAAGGGCCATCCTAGAGGAGAGTGGTGACAGAAATCAAAATTAAGGCCTGTAACAATTGTGAGGCCAGCACTTGGGTAAACCCTGGGGTTTTCTTACAGCTCTCTCAATTAATAACTGTGTCTCTTCAGGCAAGTTACTTATTACCTATGATCTTTGGTTTTTCCAAAATTAAAGTGGACACAGTGACCCCATCTTCAAAGTTTTGTTATTAAGATTAATTAAGATGATATTTATAATGTTCTTATTAGCAAAGGATCCAGCACACAGCATACATTCAGTTGAAATTAATATTTAAAGATTTTTCTCATGGTTAGAGCTATTTACCAACAGGAAATACTTTAAAAAGGCTATCTTGCATATTGTAGATCAATTTCTAACTAAGTGGAACTAGTTATCTCTTTGATCTATACCCATCTTTATCTGTGATTCTAAATTTGAGTTTTTGGTTTTAGAGGGAAAAGAAAGTAATAAAAAACTGAAAGAAAGGGAAAATCAGATGCGTGTGCATTTCAGTAGAGGACACAGAATACTGGGAGTAACATTTAGTCTGTCCTTGAGTAGGAGCTAACTTCAAATATCCCTGTGGTCTTTTGTTTTTTAGACAAAAAATTTGAAGGACTCCTAGGCTTCCTTCTAGAAGTGCCTATTGTCAGAAGGCCAGAGCTAATAAAGCTAGGAAGGGGTAGAGAGAGAACATGGGAGGGGAGGGGAGGGGGGATAGTAGAGGATAGGAAAGGTAGCAGAATACAACAGTTACTAATAGGGCATTATGTAAAAATGTGGATGTGTAACCGATGTGATTCTGCAATCTGTATTTGGGGTAAAATTGGGAGTTCATAACCAACTTGAACCTAATGTATGAAATATGATATGTCAAGAGCTTTGTAATGTTTTGAACAACCAATAAAAAAAAATAAAGCTAGGAAGGGAGATCAACTTACATATCAGTTGTCACTTGGATTTGTGCCTTCTTATATTTCCTTCATAGTTTTTACGAGGTTTATTCACAAAATAACTGGCTGAATATAGTTATCTGAAACAAGTTTCCAATTTATTATTGATCATTAATGAAACTGCTGTTCTACAATTAAATCAGCCATGTTAGGTATTCTTGAAGGGAATGGCAAAGTAAAAAAGAAGACACCCAACATGCAAATATGTTTCGGAGATTCACAGTGTTGGCAGGATGTGCTTCAAGTCATTGGGAAATTGTATGCATAAAATTTAAATATCCTGCTAGGGAGGGAGAATAAAGAAATAGAAGAGGTGACTTTTATAAAAGAAACTGTATGGGTTTTGCTATTTGAACTTGAAGTTATTGTGACAAAGTTCTGCTCTGTTTTTAGACTTGAATGTGTTTTGACTTCTCTAGGTGAAGATTTTAAACGATTTGCCTGGCAGTTTCTAACTACAGACATTATTTGCAAGTACAGTTGGTTTTCTGTTTTCGAAGTTCCTAGAGCCTGAAGAAAGACAGGCTACCTGTACATCATTCCTCTATTTTAGTCTTTTCTCCTGCATTTTCTTTCCTCTCCTTTTCTCCCTTCTCCCTTCTTTCAACTTCCCTTTCTCCTCCCCATTTCTTTCTCTTTTTCAAAGAGAACTTCTAAGAGACAAATTGATGGTTCCAAATTCTCCTTCTTTAAGGTTCTTAACTCTATTAGGTTAAGTACTAAAAGTCAGAAACCAACGATGTTGGAGCAATGGTAGCAGCAGACATCCTTTGAGCCCTTCCTGTAGGCTAGCATCTTAGAAAGCATGCTTTTTTGGGGGAGGGGGAAGGTACCGGGGATTGAACTTGGGGGTACTTGAACACTGAGCCACATCCCCAGCCCGATATTTTGTATTTTATTTAGAGTCAGGGTCTCACTGAGTTGCTTATTGCCTCACTTTTGCTGAGGTTGAACTCACGATCCTCCTGCCTCATCCTTCTGAGCTGCTGGATTTACAAAAAAGTATGCTTTTTATGCTTTCTTACATTTCACCTTAATGAAAGGGTTCTATGGTAGGTGCTATTATTCCCTGCATTTTATAAAGCCTGAGAAAGATGATCTGGATCAAATGGCTAGATTGCTAGTGAGGCTTGGCCAAGTCATTTTTTTTATTTGGGGGTGGGTGGGTGCTAGTACTGGGGATTGAACTCAGAGGCACTCAACCACTGAGCCACATCACCAGGCCCCCCTCCCCCCGCCTTTAAAAAAATAGTATTAGAGAGAGGGTCTTACTGAATTGCTTAGCACCTCACCATTGCTGAGATTGACTTTGAACTTGCCATCCTGCTGCCTTAGCCTCCTAAGTTGCTGGGATGACAGGTGTGTGCCACCATACCTGCTGGCCACGTCCTTTTGATAACAGTTAACCATGATATGATGCTACCCAAATTGTGGATTGCATTATTGGGAATGATAAAATTGATTTCAGATAAGTTGTTTGAAGTAGTATTGATTGAAAAACTGAAACAATGAGGCAGACTGCAAATAAAACTTCACTTGTTTTGTAATTTGTTACCTCTGAAGGGCTCTGCAGCTTGGGTCACCTTCTGTGATAGAGTGATTTATTTAGAGCTTGAGTTAGATTACTCACTTAAACAGCGTCAACATTTTCTCACATGTTGAAGTTGACAGTGGCCTGTGTATGTTTTTGTGCATGGAATGAGGCTCCTCCTAAGGGCTTGTGGAATCTTACTTTATTTCTTCTTCCTTAAGTTGCAGAATCTTCCCCATTACTTTCAGATTCCTTAGAGTTAGTATTTGTGATGAATAGTGACCATTTTCTTGTGTTTTTCTCAGGGATGTGTTATGAGGACAGCACTGAGCCAGGTCCCCACATATTACACCCTTACTTCTCACTGGACTGACTCAGGCTGCTTCTGCCCTTTCATGTGGTATGTGGAGCACAAATTTCTAAAGCCATCCCAGTGAGGACTATGGGCCGTGCTTGTGCCAGGAAGGAATTTACCACTTACTGAGCCCCTGTAAAGTTTAGAAGATTTTAAGTAGGCCAAGGGGGGAGAAAAAGCTGTGTAGTAGAACATAACTTACAAAATGAGTCCAGTTCCCTACATCCTCATTAAAATTTCAAACATGACATTTTGGGGAAACATGCATGAAAAGTTTCCAGCCTTAAACAGTCATTATTTGTTCATTCATT